TATCTGTTATTTTCTCTATCCTATCTCAAAATGGGATTGGTTAATTCGACCGACCTTGTAACCACCAAAACAAAATCGAAATAAACCTAAATTACCCTTTTTTCTTTATACAATAACTTCAAATTGTAACACGAAACTACATTTCTTTATCCTAAGTAGATCTTTCATAACAGTATACATCTACTTATTATTAAATTTTATTGTTTTATTGCCCTTTGAACCATGTCTAACTACTATCTGTGCCATTATAAATTGTAAATCACTCAGGGAACATGCAGCTCACATTACACTAATGAATTACACTACTCACGAGCTGCTTGCATGTGTGCCTTGTGAAACATTTTTATTATAATATTATTATTATTTATTTTACCTAACCTAATATTAAAAAACTTAAAAGGATCCCTATTTTTACATTTTAGTTACTTTTATAATTATACATGAAGAATAAACATGAAAATCAAGAAATAATATACTTAACCAATCTTCTTTTTCTTGCTGTTGGTTTTCAAAGAGAGTTAACCCTAATTTTTTATAGTAATGATAGTATTGCACTTAATAATTTTGATTTCATTAAATAATACACCAAAGAATATAGACTAATAACATGCAAAAAGTAGACAAATTCACTTACCTCTCAAAATTTTACTGACTTTCTAACTATGTGACAAGAGCTATTACAAGTTCATCCAAGCTGGTTGTTAAATTTTCCATGGGAACGTTGCTCGTACTCTGAATGAAATTGACATCTAACTGTTCAGAACATAATGTTATACAATACGTCATTTAATAGATGAAAACCTTGACTTTCTATTGATTATAGGTAACATATAATGAAATGTAAGAGATAACTATCATAGAATTGTGAAAGAGAGGGTGTGATTTTCTATTCAACAGCTCTGTAACCAAACAAAATTGAAGAGTATAAAAATTATGGTTTGTCTGAGTAATAACAATTTTACAGAGAGTAATTTACATTTAATTTTGTACTTTTTCGATGGGTGGTGGATAAAATAGGGATGATAACATGCTAAGACAAAATGTGTCATGTGGGTCACATTAGTGTAAATTTAGGATTTTTTTAAATTTTGCCTTGTAGAATTAAGAACTTAAAACTTATATACTATTAAAATATGGATTATTAGCTAAGATTTTATGCTATTCTAATTGGTTTAACATAAACAAAAAGTAGTTTTTGCATGTAAGACACTAAAACCTTGTGTCATGTGCAGTAAAGGATTCCCATGGTGATAGGATTAAGAGTAGTTGTATAAGTATCAGTTTCTGATGAGTGGTTGCTTTCCTCTCATGCTCTCTGACCTAGCTGTTTGGTTGATGTCACATAAGCTGCTATTCAAGTTGAATATACCAAATACTAGAGTATAAAATGGAAAATTATGAAACTTCAGTGCTTAAAAATTTAAAAATATTGTGTCTAGCTTAATATAACATGACTCTTTGAAAAGTATCTTCTAGGAAATGCTTAAGAATATTTTATCTTTGAAATTTTAGCTTAAATGGTTTAAAGTTGTATAACAAATCAAATATGGCAATTGGGAGCATTTAGAAAATAACAAAATGACAGTGAGAAATCTGATTTTGTTCACCACATGTAGAACAAAATGAAATCAAATTTAAAGTCTCCTTTGTCTCACTAGAGATATGTTCAACTTACATATGCTCAACTTTAGTGTTCTCTTTTATTTACACAGAGAGAAAAAATGCTGAAACCATTGCCATGTTCTTCTAGCTCCATTAGTCGCATATTTGCCACCACTGAAGGTCTGCAGAAATTATTGTGTGTTGCAGCATATGATGGTCTTATCACGGTACGAAATTCTAACACAGGCTTGCTTCTTCGTTATTTTGAACAACCAGTCCAACCTCCCTGTTGTCTGCAGTTTGTAGGAACTACTGTTTATGTTAGCACAGCCAAGAAAACTCTTAGAATTCATGATTTTTTGGTAATTCTTATAGTTGTTTTTATTTTTCAATTAGTTGTTCAACATACAAATAAAATTGTATTTTTAAATTTTAATCATTATTAATTCTTCCTTAAGTTTGTTTCCGTTAACAGTAATAAAGAACAACTTAATATCTCACAGTACTTTTAAGTTCTGCTCTATTAGTAATAGTTTTCTGGGTATTTCATCTACCTAGTTTCATATTTTCTATTAATGACAACACAGACTTATAATCATAAAATTCAAAGTAAATAAAAAGTGAAATCTGATTGATACGGTTACAAATTTTGGAATGTCATGATTCAATAAAAATCAATAAAATTATTCTTTGATAGCTAACAGAAGCTGTGAGTAGGCTGAAAACACGAAAGTATGATAAATTAGTAACTTTGAGAAATTTTTATGTAGCATAATTAAACCTATATTTTTAATAGTAATAAAAACACTTGTTAATAATTAACTTTAGATGTACAGATTTTAAAATTATTACAGTATTAGTATTTCCATAGTTGTAATGTACCAGCGTGGCCACAAGTAAATATACACCACCTTTT